GGAGGAGGAGGAGGAGGAGGAGGAGGAGGAGAAGAAGAAGAAGAAGAAGAAGAAGAAGAAGAAGAAGAAGAAGAAGAAGAAGAAGAAGAAGAAGAAGAAGAGATAAATTTTTTTTCTTTTTCTTTTTCTTTGGTTTTTCGAGACAGGGTTTCTCTGTAGCTTTGGAACCTATCCTGGAACTAGCTCTTGTAGACCAGGCTGGCCTTGAGGTGACAGAGATTCGTCCTTCTGTCTGCCTCCCGAGTACTGGGCTTAAAGGCACAGAAACACAAAGACACAGATACACAGACAATCTCTCACCTCCAAGTGGGTCTTTGGAGATGAGGGTGGTCGCCAATCCTGAACAAGCCCCAAGATGAAAGACCCCTGGAGTGGGGAGACTCTCACTCAAGTCTCAGGATGACACGACCCCCTGGGAATTCACGAGAGACCGTCCTTGCTACAATCACACGAGGTTTATTGACAGGACAGGAACCAGTGCACTGGGGCGGAAACTCATTTCCCATGCAGGGATAGAGTTCCACCCCAAGTAGCTGGGAGAAGGGAAGAAACCATAACCCAGTAACCCAAACGGGTAGGGAGGGCATCACTGGAAAATTCCAAAAAAGTACCAGTGATCATTGGAAAATTCCGAAAATACCAGTGATAATCACAAGGGGGTAATTCCCTGTTTCTCAAGATTATAATCTAACTTTGTGGTCAGCTAGAGTCACTGAACCAGCTAGCCTAGATTTTTGGTTCTTCTCTCCCTGCTAGATTTTTGGCTCTACTCTTTCTGCTAGAGGGATCTGAATTTTTCCGGGTCTTTCATTATGATTTTGCTAAATACATTTTCTATGCCTTTGAGTTGAACTTCTCCTTCTTCTATACCTATTATTCTAAGATTTGGCCTTTTCATGGTGTCCCATATTTCATGGATATTTTGGGTTAAGCTTTTGTTAGATTTAATGTTTTCTTTAGCAGATGAGTCTATTTCCTCTATTGTATCTTCAGCCCTTGAGATTCTATCTTCCATCTCTTGTATTCTGATGTTCATGCTTGTGTTTGTGGTTCCTGATCTTTTTCTCATGATTTCTGTTTCTATAATTCCTTCGGCTTGTGTTTTCTTTATTGTTTCTATTTCAGTTTTCAAGTCCTGGATAGTTTCTTTTATATGTTTAATTTCTTTTTCTTTGTTTTCTTTAAGTGATTTGCTGATTTCTTCCAATTTTTTGTTTGTTTTTTTTTCTCCATTTCTTTAAGGGAATTTCTCATTTCATCCTTAAGAATTTCAAACATTCTCTTGTGGTTATTTTTTAGATCATTTTCTTCTGGTTCATCCATTTTTGGTTGTTCAGGTCTTGCTGTTGTAGGGTCTTTGGGTTTTACTGGTATTGTGTTGCTCTTTGTGGTGTAGCATGTGATCTTACCTTGTCTACTCATCTTTTCCTCTAATAGGTGTGGTTGAGGCTGTCTGAGATTCTGTTGAATAATTTTCTAGGTGCCTGTGAATCCAAAGCTTAGTTTTTCCTCGTGGTACAGTCTAGTTACCCAGTTGGTTATTCCTGTTTCTGGAGATATCTTAGTGCTCCTGTGCTTTGCTCTGCTCCCTTGGAGTTTGCTGTCTGAGGCCTACTTTGGCCTAGGCTGCTGGCTTTGATCTGTTTCTGTAAATCCTGGTCTGGATATCCTCCTGCAGAAGTCCATGGCTTGGAGTTGGACCTGTTCTTGTGGAGATCACTGACTCTGGATCTGGTCACTGATTCAGTCCTGATCTGCCAGTGTTCTGGGACTTGGTTAGCTCCCAGGGCTGGATTTGCTCCTGGCTTCTGCTCCTGGTGGAGCTTGTTTCCTCAGGCTCTCTCTGTCCTAGGAGTCTTGTTCAGTGCCAGTCCTGTGGATTTCCTTTGCTCAGGGCGATTTTGGCCTAGGTTACTGCCTTTGACCTGTATCTGTAAATCCTAGTCTGGATTCCCTCCTGCAGAAGTCCCTGGGTTGGAATTGGACCTGGAAAGGTTTCTGGTTCCGCTGTACTGCCTCGGAGGTCCCAGGCTCAGGTGTGCCCAAACCCACAGAGGACCTGCTTACTTCCTCAGAAGTCCCAGACTCATGCTGGAACCCGCAGGTGTTCCAGGTTCTGCCTATTCCCTTTGATGTCCCAAACCAATGCCCGAACCCACAGAGGACCTGGCTCAGGCCTACTTTCTCTGAGGTCCCAGACTCATGCCTGGCCCTGCCGAGATCTCTGGTTCCTGTCTATTCTCTCAGAGGACTCAGGTTCACTCACGCCCAGACTGGCAGAGGTCCTGGCTCAGGCCTAGTTTCTAGGAGGTCCTAGACTCTCACCCAGACCCACCAGGGTGTTGACTTAGGTCTACTCCCTTGAAAGTCCTGGATTCATGTCCGGACTCTCAGAAGTCTCTGGCTCTGGCTCACTCCCCTGTGTTATGGTTTTGGCCCCTGGTCCCTTTGAGAGACAAGCCACGCCCACTCCCTCCCCCATCCGCTGAGGCAGGCTGATCTTCAGCTTCTGGCCTGAGCTCGCTCTCTTTTCCATCTTCCTATCAGAGAGGCAGCTTCACTTCTGCCTCTCTCCCCACTTCTCTGCTTCCCCTTCTCTGTCTCTTTCTCCTCCTCCTCCTTCTCTCTCTCTCTTTCTCTCTCCCTCTCTCTCTCTCTGTCCTCCCTTCACCCTTCCTCCTCCATAACCCCCTGAATAAATATTCAACCTGACTCTGCATGTCATGTCTATCCATGTCTCTGTCTCCTGCCCGCCCGCCATATGTCTCCCTGCCTGGGACCAGCCATTGCTCAGGGACCAGCAGCCATCTCTGCCTGAGACTGGCTGCTCTCAGGGCCTGCTGCCTGCTGCCACATGGCCTGCCACCACTGCTCGGGCCACCACTCTGGGACCGTCAGCCGTCTCTGACTGGGACTGGCTGCTTGCAGGGCCCTCTGTCTGCTGCCACATGGCTCACTACCACCATTTGGGACCTACAGCATTTCTGCTGCCTACTGCCGCTGGGGATCTTGCAGCATTTTTAAAAATATATATAAAATTGGTGCTGTGACTCGGATGATTCGCCTACCCCAGACTTCTACCCAGGGAGGGAGTTCCAGCTTTAGGCGCCATCTGGGACTCCAACCTCCCCCCTGGGGCAGAATCAGGATCGAGGATCTTCTCTACAATGACCCACGTGTTCCATCTGCCTGGGCACGCCTCTTACGAACAACACCAGCTTCTAATTGTGAGTATCCACTTTCAGCCAGCCTAACCACCCCTTTTAACCCAGGTAATTGACCACTGAGCTCCCGACAACCCCTGGTGTTTCTAGGTTGGGGGGAACTTCCCCCAACCATGGCCTTCAGGGCCTTGGTTGTTCCCTTCGCTGGCATTCACTTCCTGCTTGCATCCTTGGTTAATCCCGTGCCTGCGATGGCGTGGCCTTAGCCAGCTCCTCAGCTCACCTGTGCCTGGAGGCCCGGGATCTCCAATTCTCCCTCTTTTTCTCTTTTCATTCCTTTTCTTCTTTCTTTTCGTCATAACTGCCACTACAGTGTGGCACACCGCTATGGTGTGGCCCAGCCTTTGATTTCTGAGTAATTTGCCCAGATTCAGCTAGGCTATTAGCACCCCACTTGTGAAATGTGGATGCCCGTTCACAAGTCCTGGGTGTTCATGCTGTTATTCCCCCAGAAGGCCCCTGAGCATAGCTCGT